ACTGCCGGCACCACTACACAGCCACATACGTAATGACATATTTGATTCATTCTAGAGTACGTATATATCAGGTTTCTGTGTTATTTATATTGTTTATTATGTTATTAGATCAATTGTGATAGATAAATAAGCCATAGAGTTGATATTAGTGTTATATTGAAGTGTATTTTTTCCTGCCTCTGTGAGCAGGAATTCCGCCGGAACGGATTAATGGCATACGAACAAATCAGGATACGAACAAGGTCACGGAATGGATTAAGTTCATAAGCCAAGGTTCCACTGTAATGTAATCTGTGGTACTACAGTATGGTACTGTACAGTAATTTTATAGTGCATAATTTCCAGTAATTCTACATACAGTAGACTGTAGATTAACAAGGTTCCTTTACCACGTTTTCTCCATTACATTACTGCAAGGCTGTGACATATTTTCGACTAACACTCCATAAAATTCAACTAACACGGTGCCCCTTCTGGGGAAAAAAATTGGAGTACTGAGAGGTGGACTACAGGATTTCAGATCTGTGTTTGTGATTAACTTTGTTGATTCCTGCATACCAGTCAATACATGCAGTGTTTATATATGCTGCTTTGTATGATAATTTATGCAACTGCATTTGTGTGTATGTTAACCCGAATAAACTGACTGATGTGTCTGGTTGGCTGGCCGCCTGGTTGGTCGGCTGACTGGCTGGCCTGTCTCTGTCTCTTGTCTATCTCAGAGAGAGAGAGAGAGAGCTGCTCATGAACATGAAACAATAGAACCTTGGTTTATGAACACCCCACCATGCAAACTTTTCAGGATACGAACCGTCATTCGCTCGATTTTTTGCTTCTGGATATGAGCAAAATTTCAGGATGCATACTTCCCCCTCAAAGAAGGTTTCTTAAATAAATAAATAAAATATTTATCTCTTGCAAAGGTTACAATGTGTGTTTACATATCATATGATCAGAGCAAAGAAAGCCACTATCATGCCGAGGCATTTCGGGCAGGCTTAACTTAATACTTATAGACTATACTGTACTTAAGTCTAGACAGGTGAAAAGTAATGATTACCAATGTTTTGCTGATGGTGGCGCCAACTAATGGCAGCCTTTTGAAGTTTCTCCTCCCATACAAGCACTTCCCCATTATAATAATAATCTTTCATTCTTTCAACACACCGGCCATATCCCACCGAGACGGGGTGGCCCAAATGGAAAAACGAAAGTTTCTCCTTTTACATTAAGTAATATATACAGGAGAAGAGGTTACTAGCCCTTTGCTCCCAGCATTTTAGTCGCCTCTTACAACACGCACGGCTTACGGAGGAAGAATTCTGTTCCACTTCCCCATGGAGGTAAGAGGAAATAAACAAGAACAAGACTAGAAGAAAATAGAAGAAAACCCAGAGAGGTGTGTATATATATGTTTGTACATGTATGTGTAGCGTGACCTAAGTTTAAGTAGAAGTAGCAAGACGTACCTGAAATCTTGCATGTGTATGAGACAAAAAGACACCAGCAATCCTACCATCGTGTAAAACAATTGCAGGCTTCCGTTTTACACTCGCTTGGCAGGATGGTAGTACCTCCCTTGGCGCTTGCTGTCTACCAACCTACTACCTAATATAATAATATTAATATAATAATAATATAATACAATAATAATAAAATAAGAATATAATAAAAATGTACTATGATAATTATAATAACAGATGGCTTCGAAAGGCCATCACTAGATGGCAGTGAATACAACAACAATGCAGGTGCGGTGATGGCCGCCTCCACTTGTCACATGACATATTTATTCTAGAGTATATATCAGGTTTCTATGTTATTTATATTGTTTTTTTTTTTTATTAACACACTGGCTGATTCCCACCAAGGCAGGGTGGCCCGAAAAAGAAAAACTTTCACCATCATTCACTCCATCACTGTCTTGCCAGAAGGGTGCTTTACACTACAGTATTTAAACTGCAACATTAACACCCCTCCTTCAGAGTGCAGGCACTGTACTTCCCATCTCCAGGACTCGAGTCCGGCCTGCCGGTTTCCCTGAATCCCTTCATAAATGTTACTTTGCTCACATTCCAACAGCACATCAAGTATTAAAAAACCATTTGTCTCCATTCACTCCTATCAAACACGTTCACGCATGCCCACTGGAAGTCCAAGCCCCTCGCACACAAAACCTCCTTTACCCCCCTCCCTCCAACCTTTCCTACGCCGACCCCTACCCTGCCTTCTTTCCACTACAGACTGATACACTCTTGAAGTCATTCTGTTTCACTCCATTCTCTCTACATGTCCAAACCACCTCAACAACCCTTCCTCAGCCCTCTGGACAACAGTTTTGGCAATCCCACTCCTCCTCCTAACTTCCAAACTACGAATTCTCTGCATTATATTCACACCACATATTGCCCTCAGACATGACATTTCCACTGCCTCCAGCCTTCTCCTCGCTGCAACATTCATCACCCATGCTTCACACCCATACAGCAGCGTTGGTAAAACTATACTCTCATACATTCCCCTCTTTGCTTCCAAGGACAAAGTTCTTTGCCTCCACAGACTCCTAAGTGCACCACTCACCCTTTTCCCCTCATCAATTCTATGATTCACCTCATCTTTCATAGACCCATCCGCTGACACGCCCACTCCCAAATATCTGAATACATTCACCTCCTCCATACTCTCTCCCTCCAATCTGATATCCAATCTTTCATCACCTAATCTTTTTGGTATCCTCATAACCTTACTCTTTCCTGTATTCACTTTCAATTTTCTTCTTTTACACACCCTACCAAATTCATCCACCAACCTCTGCAACTTCTCTTCAGAATCACCCAAGAGCACAGTGTCATCAGCAAAGAGCAACTGTGACAACTCCCACTTTATGTGTGATTCTTTATCTTTTAACTCAACACCTCTTGCCAAGATCCTCGCATTTACTTCTCTTACAACCCCATCTATAAATATATTGAACAACCACGGTGACATCACACATCCTTGTCTAAGGCCTACTTTTACTGGGAAATAATCTCCCTCTTTCCTACACACTCTAACTTGAGCTCACTTATCCTCGTAAAAAACTCTTCACTGCTTTCAGTAACCTACCTCCTATACCATACATCTGCAACATCTGCCACATTGCCCCCCTATCCACCCTGTCATACACCTTTTCTAAATCCATAAATGCCACAAAAACCTCTTTAGCCTTATCTAAATACTGTTCACTTATATGTTTCACTGTAAACACCTGGTCCACACACCCCCTACCTTTCCTAAAGCCTCCTTGTTCATCTGCTATCCTATTCTCCGTCTTACTCTTAATTCTTTCAATAACAACTCTACCATACACTTTATCAGGTATACTCAACAGACTTATCCCCCTATAATTTTTGCGAACTCTTTTGTCCCCTTTGCCTTTATACAAAGGAACTATGCATGCTCTCTGCCAATCCCTAGGTACCTTACCTTCTTCCATACATTTGTTAAATAATAGCACCAACCACTCCAAAACTATATCCCCACTTGCTTTTAACATTTCTATCTTCATCCCATCAATCCCAGCTGCCTTACCCCCTTTCATTCTACCTACTGCCTCACGAACTTCTCCCACACTCACAACTGCCTCTTCATCACTCCTACAAGATGTTATTCCTCCTTGCCCTATACACGAAATCACAGCTTCCCTATCTTCATCAACATTTAACAATTCCTCAAAATATTCCCTCCATCTTCCCAATACCTCTAACTCTCCATTTAATAACTCTCCTCTCCTATTTTAACTGACAAATCCATTTGTTCTCTAGGCTTCCTTAACTTGTTAATCTCACTCCAAAACTTTTTCTTATTTTCAACAAAATTTGTTGATAACATCTCACCCACTCTCTCATTTGCTCTCTTTTTACATAAACTCTTCCCTCCTTGCATCACTTCTACTTTGTAAAAACTTCTCATATGCTAACTTTTTCTCCCTTACTACTCTCTTTACATCATCATTCCACCAATCACTCCTCTTCCCTCCCGCACCCACCTTCCTGTAACCACAAACTTCTGCTGAACACTCTAACACTACATTTTTAAACCTACCCCATACCTCTTCGACCCCATTGTCTATGCTCTCATTATTCCATCTATCCTCCAATAGTTGTTTATATCTTACCCTAACTGCCTCCTCTTTTAGTTTATAAACCTTCACCTCTCTCTTCCCTGATGCTTCTATTCTCCTTGTATCCCATCTACCTTTTACTCTCAGTGTAGCTACAACTAAAAAGTGATCTGATATATCTGTGGCCCCTCTATAAACATGTACATCCTGAAGTCTACTCAACAGGCTTTTATCCACCAATACATAATCCAACAAACTACTGTCATTTTGCCCTACATCATATCTTGTATACTTATTTATCCTCTTTTTCTTAAAATATGTATTACCTATAACTAAACCCCTTTCTATACAAAGTTCAAAGGGCTCCCATTATCATTTACACCTGGCACCCCAAACTTGCCTACCACACCCTCTCTAAAAGTTTCTCCTATTTAGCATTCAGGTCCCCTACCACAATTACTCTCTCACTTGGTTCAAAGGTTCCTGTACATTCATTAAGATCCCAAGATCTTAATACTTGGGAATTTTTCGCTTGCCTAACCCTCGGGCACGACCTATTTCCACATTGGACAAATGTGACACCACCTACGACTGCTGCACCTCTCTTGCCTACAGTTTATAAGCTGCTTCTCCACACATATGCCGTATTCTATTCATGATTGATGGACTGACCACATCGACTCAAGGTTGAGGGACTGATTACCTCATTCTCCTCCTGTTCTTCAAGTTTCTCCTATGTATGGACTGATGAAGCCACTGTGTGGTGAAACGTTTCCTCAATAAAGATACCCAAGAGTTGCACATGTGTCTAATTTATCAACATATGCTACATAAAAAAGAATACGCAAAGAATTGAAAACGAGCATTGCTGTGCAACAGCTGTAGAAGGAGAGCTTACCTGCATGAGACAGTGATCTCTACTAAGGATGTTGGTGCAGCAGCAGAGCCAGCCATTGTCTTGAGGTTAAGGTGCTATACTATTCTACGTCTACACTCACTATTCCTCGATCTCTACTCTGTGGAAGAAGCCTCTCAATAAGACACTAATAACAAAATAAGGATGGAATTGACTGCATAATGTTATTCAAGTTAACTGTAATTTTAAGCAAATTATTTTATATATGAACAAAATTATTTGTAAGCCAAGGAAACAATGGAACAAATTGAGAATGATCAAAAATAATCACAAGCTAAAATAATTATGTTTAATAGAAGGCAAAGGTAAAAATACAGCACTAAGAATATACTGTACTAAGAAATGTACTCACCTAGTCTGTAAGAAAGATATGCAAGAATGAAGACATTCATTGAGGATACATTTCATCCACCAGGGGTGAAAGATATCTTCAATAAATGTGTTTATACCAGCATATGTGTATTTCTTACATACTCATCAGTGTTGATCAACAAGTTTGACTCACCAAGTTGTGTTTGCAGACTCAAGTCACAGCTCTTGGTCCTGCTCATTGATTTCCCTCTGAGCCTTGTAACTTTTTTCTTACACAGGCCATAATACAGGCATATTTTCCCGCACTTTAATGTTTAGTTAATGAAAAAATTATTAAAGAATATTGTGTATTACTCATGTATTGTATTATCATGTATTATTAATGGTGTACTAATACACAACGGCTAAAATTAAATGCCAGGACTAGAATTTAGTAGTAAGACTTAACAATTAGTTTGCATGAAATGTTTGCATATTAAGTGGCTGACTACTGAACATGCATTGTATGAAATTTTATCTGCATCATATAACCAAATGATGTGAAAATCTAACTGTTGTAACTTGGATGACCATTAGCAGTAAACATCTTGTTCTTTCATTTTTATATATACTGTGTCTAAGGTGACTCTTCCAACTGCTCACAAATAGTTTAAAGAATACATTTCATTTAGACAAGTGATATAATATATAAATGACTTAAAAAATAAAAATCATATATAGGCAGAATAATTGAGATTGTGCTATAGCAAGTGTAAACTTTGGCTATTTTGCCCATGACATTTTACATTCCATAATAAAAAATTTGGGAAGAAGAAAAAGTACACTATTCACAGCATCCACACCTGAAGTGATACATCACACAAGATGGATAAGTATTTATTTAGGCCTCTTTATGTGAATTTAAATTTTTGCATTTGTTTTATATAGTAAACTGTAGAAATGAACCTTGGGTAACATAATACTTAAAAATGTGAGTTATTTGCCCAAAATGCTCTGCATAACCATTTCCTTTCTCTCACCAATATTAAATGTTATCCAATTTTGCAACAACTATATATCATGTGGAAATACTGTAAGCTTTCTTATTAGCTATTATATTTATAATTATTATTGTTGTTAGCTATTATTATTATAAGCTATTATCATTATTATTATTAATATTAGCTATTATTATTGTTAGCTTATTATTACGTACTAGTAGTAGTAGGTAGTAGTATTATTTCCGTGGTAGTATTATATCCAGTAAGATGGTTTAGATGCCTCTAGTACGTACTATAATAGTTAAATAACTACAGTGGACCCTTGGTTATCGGCCATAATACATTCCAGAAGGTTGGCCGAAAAAGCGAAATAATATTTCCCATAAGAATTAATGTAAATACAATTAATCTGTTCCAGACAAAAATATTCACAATTTTTTTTTTTTTTTTAACAATTACATAAATACGTATTAACCCTTTCAGGGTCCGTCCCGTAGATCTACGGCTTTACGTTCAGGGTCCAAACCGTAGATCTACTCCATGAGCTCAGCTCACTCTGATAAACTGTGAGTGGTATATTTGGGCCTAGATATGAGAGAATACATCTATGTGGTATGTGTGCACCACATAAAACAGATCCTGCAGCACACTGTGTATAATGAGAGAAAAAAAATGAAATCATGATTTTTCGATTAAAACAGCAACTTTGCAGTGTTTTTTCGTATGTTTTTTTATGTTGTATTTGCGATTTCTTGGTCTCATTTGATAGAATGGAAGACATATTACAGAAATAGAGATGATTTTGATTGGTTTTAGCACTGGAAATGGCTTGAAACTGAGCTCAAAGTAGCAGAAATGTTAAATTTTTGCCGATATTCAAGAGTAAACAAACGACCTCACCGTCTAATACACGTCAGCTGGTGGGTCAATATACATTTTACAAATATGGTGATGATATTTATACAATTATTACAGTATTGCATAACAGTTAATCTTCTATTATTTTTGTGTGAATAAAAATTCATTATGTGAATAAAAAATCAAAATGGAATTTATTTGTAAAGCCTCAAAACATAACTAATGAACAGAGGAAATGTTAGTTTAGTGCCAGGAATGCCTACATTGTCATTCTGGACCCTATTTTGAAATTGGAATATTTTGAACTTTGTGTTAAATTGGCCAAATTAACAATTTCCGATCACTTTATTTTGTAGTTGAAACAGTTGACTTGGCGATTTCTTGTGCTCATCGATAGAATAGAAAGTAATACTAGTGAAATAGCTAAGAATTTGGTGATTGGAATAATGTAATTGGCCTAAAATGGGAGTCAAAGTCGGCAAAATCGCCGATTCGTAAATATCGCTGACACATCAAAATTCGCGAGAGCATAATTTCGTCAATTTTCCACCAAATTTCGTACTTTTTGTTTTATTACCTTCACAAAAAGATTCTCTACGATTTCATAAGAAAAAATAACAAATTTTTTTTTTGAAAATTCTTGGACACTGGTGCGTGACTCCAGATTTGGGCCTTGGACCCTGAAAGGGTTAAATACCTTTATTGAAGGGTAATGCTGGCTTCTGGAAGATATGGAGGAGGGAAGAGGGAGGAGCTAGTGTTTGGAAGGGGAATTCCCCTCCATAAAGACTTTAGATAGCAAAGCCTCCTCTGGGGTTACTTCCTTTCTTTGTCTTTTAATGCCACTAGGACCAGCTTCAGAGTCACTGGACACCTGTCTCACAAAATAACTGTCCAGAGTGCTCTGTTTCTGGTATCTCTAAGATTTCCCTGAAGTGGGACAGGGTTTTGTCACTAAACATGTTGCAGATATGGCTTGTTTCAGCTTTGTCAGGGAGGTACTTCTCAACAAAACTTTGCACATCATTCCACTTTGGACATGTGTTCTTAACCCCTTGACTGACGCAACCCCAAATCCTGAGGTGTCTCCTTGTGTCACAAAAATTTAAAAAAAAAAATATTTTTTTCTTATGAAATGATAATCTTTTCCCAATGGTAATGACACCAAAAGAATGAAATCTGATGGAAATCTGATGGAATTACGCTTTCGTGAAGTTAGCGACCTCGGCAATACATATTTACGAATTGGTGATTTTGCCTACTTTCAGCCCTATTTTCGGCTAATTCCGTTGTTCCAGTCGACCAAACTCAGAGCTATTTCTTTAGAACTCCATTTTTTCTATCAATTGAGTACAAGAAACTGCCCATTTACCGATTTCAACTACCCAATAACATGATCAGAAATTTGCAATTTGGCCAACTTCACGAAAATTAAAAAATATGACAATTTCAAAATAGGGTCCAGAATAAACAATGCAGACATTCCTGGCTCTAAAATAATATTTTCTTTGTTCATCAGTCATGTCTCCAGGCCCCTCTGATATTACTCTTGCTTTCTATTTTGAATTTTTATTCAAAGAAAAAATTATGCAGACTACTGCAATACATGTATTGTAATAATTGTATAAATAATGTCAACCCATTCATGACTGCATATTAGAATGGCTAGTTGGACATTTATTGGACAATGACATCATTTGTTTACTTTTGAACATCGGCAAAAGTCAAACATTTCCCCCTATTTTGAGCTCCATTTCAGGTTCTTTTTATAGTAAAACCAATCAAAATCACCTCTATTTCTATAATATGTTTTCCATTCTATCAAATGAGACCAAGAAAACGAGAATACAACCATAAATACTATATGAAAATAGACCACAAAGTCGGCATTTTAATTAAAAAAACGGTCATTTTTTTTTTTCTCCTTATGTACAGTGTGCTGCATGATTTTTTTTTTATATGGGACACACAGACCCATTCTCTCACATGTGGGCCTATCAGGTTTCTTCTGCTTCATTTGAAAATGCTGGCTCATAAGATGTATATATATGACCGAAACAGTCAAAGGGTTAATGAAGAAGGCACCGCCTTCACACCCTCCTCCTCCTCCTTTGAAGCAAGTTCCTCAGCTGCAGTCTGTTGCTGTTCAAGTTGAAGCTCTTGCAGTTTTTCAGTGGTTAGCTCTTCCCTGTGGTCCTCCACTAACTCTTCCACATCCTCGCCACTCACCTCCAACCCCAGGGACTTCCCCAGTGCCACAATAGAGCCCACATGGTCGGCAGGGTCAGCCTCAAACCCTTCAAAATCCCTCTCTTGGACACAATCTCGTCATAGTTTTCTCCAAGCAGAGTTCAAAGTCCTGGAAGTCACTCCCTCCCAAGCTTTACCTATGTACCCCTGGAATTCCTGCACAAATTTTTCAGCCACACATTTATCAGAACTTGAGCCTCACCATGCCTTACAACACTGTGTATGCCACTACGCTTCTTAAATCTATCAGACCATCCTTTGCTGGCCCTAAATTCACAAACTGCAGCACTTGTTCCAGGCATTTTCTTTGCAAGATCCTCATGTAACTGCCTTGCTTTGTCACAAATAATCGACTCCACAACACTGTCTCCCACTAATTCTTTTTCCTTAATCCACAATAATAATAACTTTTCCATCTCTTCCATTATTGGTGGCCTTTTATTAGTTACAAAAGTTACTCCTTTTGCAACATTAGCATCCTTGATTTGTTCTTTCTTTGCCAGGATGGATGTAATTGTTGATTTATTCTTGCTGTACATCCTAGCAAGTTCCACCACCCTCATACCACTCTCAAACTTTTCTATCACTTCACGCTTAAATTCCATGGTGTTTCTCACTTTCTTTACCACAGGAACTTTCTTTGGAGCCGTGGTTACTTATTTCACAGTTGCACTGCAAAAATCACATAGACTACAATAGG